GTTCAGAAACTATATATTGCTTTTGCAATATCTCATCCTTATTATACTGTTATTTTTGTATGTCATATCAACGGTTTTATTAAATTTTGTCTCAAAATCTGTTCCCATTAAACTTGAATTTGCATCTTTTATTTTTTCTACTTTATTTCCTGCAGATATGGTTTTTTTATAAAATCGATCCACTTTATATCCTTATTAACAAAAGTCGGCGTTTTTGACAAATTAGAAATTGATCTCTTAGAATTGTTAATAAGAATGGAAGATTCATCATTATTACTTGTACTATCTTCATCCTTTATATTCTTTCTCAATGCATTTATTGTTTTTTGTGAATCTGAAAATTACATAATAAACCAATTAAACAAATCAAATAATGTTATAAAATATATAAATAATTAAAATATAAATATATAAATTAATTTAATTTATTAATTTAATTATCTACTTTAATTTAATTTGATAAACTTAATTTAATTTAATAAACAAATTAAATAATATTATAAATTATTATATTAAATATTGTTATAAATTATTATATTAAATAATCACTGTGCAAAATCAATTTAACTGCGAAACATCTATTTTAATATTTGACAATATTTAATATGTGTGAAGGAAATTCTGTGCACAGTTCTCACTTGTGATCTACCTTACAGTCATCTACCTATATATATATATATATATATATATATATATATATATATATAATCATAGCCAGTTTGGTCGTATATGAATGAAAATAAATAATCTTATTGTTTAATAATGACAACAGTGTCAACTAACTGCGCTTTTATTAAGAAAGTATGTAAATTTTAATTCTTGCGTTTAACATTAAAATGTTTATATTTATTAATTTTAATTAATTGTATCATTCTAGTTTCTCACTTGAAAAGGACCAAAAACAGATGGTCGAAACGTTGTGGAAATAAAATAAAAACTTTCTTGGCTAGTTTGGGTCGAATTTAATATATCGTTCCTATTTTAAATATCACTAGCAACGTTTTATTTAAGTATTCAATTTGATATTAAATAATAATGTTATAAATTATTCTAAAAAACTTATATTTTAAATACATATTAAATAGATATAAACTTACCTTTATCTTTTGTTTCCATAGAAGCTTTAATATTTTTATCAGTTACTTTTCTAATAGTTGGCTTTTGTTTATTATTTACTTTTGGCATACATGATTGAGTAGATTTAGAATAATTATTATTACCATCAAAACGTATTCTTGAATTTCGTTCTTGCATGTCTGGATCAACTTGTAAATTGGAAAAATTTGAACATACATCCCTAAAAATAGTACAAATATTTATGGTACAACAAAATAATATAAATACTAAAATAACATGTCGATTATATAGAAAAAATTAAATTATATAAAAAAATATATAATTATATTAAAAAATTAAGTTTTCTTTACACTTACTGCATAATATCTTCAGCATTATTTTGTGATATTTTTTTATTTGATTGATCTTTTTCATCTTATTTGAATAACATTGAGCGTCCAATTTTGCTGTTGCAATGCTTTTTGCAATCATTAACATATTTTTTTTTTCTCCTTTATCCTTACGATTAATCAACATTTTGGAATTTGGAAACGAGTTAGGTAAATATGCATCATCTTGCATTACATCAATAGATAAATCTCTTTTGTATGGCTTCATGGAATGATATTTGTGAGAGTCTTCAATTGAGTATAATGTCTCAATATTTTCTGTTAATAAATCTTTAATTTCTAATTTATTATTCGCATCAAGCTTTTGTATACGCTTCACCTTTCCACTGAAATAACAAATCGATAAAAATAATTTTCAAGTATAAGCAGAAGCAATATTACAAAAAGAAATATATCTTTTTTTAATCCATCCATTTATATATACCCAGCTAGTTAAAAATTATATAAAACAAATATTAATATAAATTGTGTATGAACTAGTTTCCAGAACTGTAGATCCTACATTTTATATTTTTATTGTATTAATGTATCTTAAAATTTAAAAATTCCAACTAATCGAAAAGAGCAAGATTCCACATCCTTTTTTCATTCTTGAAAAGATTTATTATAATCTCTGTCTTTAAAGATTTTTATTTTCTTAATTTATATAAGATCCTGCACATATGCACCAGAGTATCGATGCATATTATAAACTTAAGTATAACTTGTGATAGTTTTATATACTTTAAATTAATAATATAACTTATATATTAATTACATATTAATTGTATATTTTATATATAAGTAATATATTGCACAATCAATAATTATAAGATTTTTTTATTAATACATTATACAACTATAGCATTACTAAGGAGAAAAATACATACATAGAGATTGACTTATTGATAAATTATGAATAATAAAATTTATATCACACAAGAGCAATGTCAATACAAAAATTATATATTAAGTAAAGATTAAACATACGGATTCAATGAATGAGATGCATGTTTCAGCCACTGCATGTTATGTAGCTTGTTGACCATTGCCTTCTGGTTTACATCAAATGTCCTTTTTACATTTTCCATTATACCTGTTATAAATGTAATATTGTAACTAAATATTGATGCGACATACATGCAATTTAAGTTAAAGTTAAAAATAAAACAATTTCTTCTTTCGTCTTAATATGTTAAATCTCAACATCATTGTTTAGATGTAGAAAAATAGATTTTCCTAATATATTTTGTAATAGCAACAATGTAACTAATGTAAAATGGTTTACTTTTCTCTTCAGTTATCTTAAAATTACGACAGGATTAATATCCTTCTTTTATGCAAATATTTTTTCCATAATTTAATTCAGAATCAACAGAGCTTCCCAAAATACTGTATAAAATAAAGCTAAATTTTATGTAGTATTAATATTACATTGATCTATTTTAAATTTACGTTATTTAGTGGCACAATAATATTTCACAGGAGTAAAAACATTATTTCTTCAAAAGATCATGTAAGTACAACAAAGATATGTAAGAAAGATAAGTTAAAAATATGATAAAATTGTTAGAAATTGTTTAAATTATCAATCAACGAGAATTACAATGATAAATTCTTGAAACCAAAAGATATTCTTGCACACAAAACGCCCTTACACTTACACACAAACAAATCTAATATTTTTGCAAAACTCTTTTGCGTACAACCTAAAACCAGAAACTTATCTGCTTTAGGGAGGGAAAACTCGAATCACGTCGAATCTCGCTTATAGGAAAAATTCAAATCCTACTTTATCGACACTCAGCTAAACAAGATTCGAGTCTCGGCTAAATAGAGTTTGAATTTTCACTAACAAGTAAAGTTACCTTTCTGTTACTCGCCGATTTTGATGAAACTCGGTATGCTTGTACAGTAGTAAAAAATAATAGACACGTATTTTTTTTATATCGACAATGGTGCACTTTTAAGGTTTGCGCAACCAATTTATGGTCTGAAAAGTCCATTTTTTCTCGCTCTTTGCCGAATCCAAAAAAAACCGACGAGAAGGTGGCGAGAATCTATTCCCACTATTTCTTTTTGTATTTTTATTATTTATTATTTTTATTTTTTATTTTTAATTAAAAATTTTTTTTTATTAAAAATTTTTAATATTTTAATTTTTTATAATTGTTTTTAAATTATCTATAATTACGTTACTTTTCTCTTATTTTTTCATTTTCATAATTTTTGCAGAAATGATAAAAAAATATTTCATACATAACGATTTTTCCACACCAAGCACACTTTATGATTGCTATATCGTTGCATAATATGCACATGTATCTTTACAATTTTTAAAACAATAATCTACGGGATTATCTATAACTTACATAAGTAGTTTCTCTTGTAAGTAGCCATTTTTGTACCACGAATACTTGAATAATTTATAAATTTATATAAAATTTAAAAATTGTGAAGATACATGTGCATTATGCAACGATAACAATTATAAAGTATACTTGGTGTGAAAATTCGTTATGTATAAAAGATTTTTTTTTATATATTATTTCTGCGAAAATTATAAAAATAAAAAAATTAGTGAGAAGTAACGTGATATATGGTACATATAGATAACATAAAAAAAATATTTTAAATTAAAATATAAAAATTTTTAAATTAAAAAAAATAAATAATAGAAATACAAAAAATAGTGGGAATATAGATTCTCGTCACTTTCTCATTGGTTATTCCTGGGTTCGGCAAAGAGCGAGAAAAAATGAATTTTTTAGAACATAATATTGATTGAGTGCACCTTAAAAGTGCACCATTACCGATATAAAAAAATACGTGTCTATTATTTTTGACTACTGTACAAGTATACTGAGTTTCATCAAAATCGGCAAGTAACAGAAAGTTAACTTTACTTGTAAGTGATAATTTGAATCTTTACTGAATAGAATTGGAAATTCCGCTGAGTGAGTTTACCATAAGTTACACTAAATAAAGATGCTTTTAAATAAAATGCAAAATCAGAAATTTAATATATATATATATATACGGGAAAATATTTTAAACGACCAACTGGCTATTATTAATGGTGTTAATTTATTTGTGCAGCAACGTATCGACCCTGAATTGGGTCCTCTTTAGGCTGATGTTAAATGTTAATATTAATTAATACATCTTAAATAACGAGATAGTAGGTATTTGTTCACAACCGTGATAACAATGTTCACCATGAAGCGATACAAAACGAATGAAACCTCGTTCTTTACTTCACATATGTACTAAACATGATTTAATGTTACATCATGTTCACCTAACACTGAATAATTAAAGGTAAAGTAAAAATAATAAAATAATATAATGCAATAATAACATAAATTAATATAATACATTAAAAGGATTAAAATAAATTAAGAATATCGTCATAAATAGAATTTAAATTTTCCGTGTTTCTTTGCAAATTTATCGAATTCTTATGTTTTTTGATAAAAATCATTTCACTTATTTCTCTTTTTTTACATTAGCTTCATTATGTAAGATAGAAACATGCGACCAATCAAAGTCATGATGAAGTAACTCAGTGAGAAATGATTGGTCGAATCGTCATCGATTCGACATCAATTCGACGAATTTGACATCAATTCGACAACAAATCGACGTCGATTCAACTATCATTTCTCACTGGGAAGGCTCACACTACAGAATTTCTTGTAAGAATTGCACTTCATGTTATATCGGGAAACCAAACGTTACCTTCGGACACGCATAAAAGAACATAATTCTATAATATTAAGAAACATGAATCTAATTACTCGGTCATTAGTAAACACAGAGCTTCACTTCATCATGACTTCGATTCGTCGCATGTTTCCATCTTACACAATAAAGCTAATGTAAAACAATGATATTAATAAAAAATAAAAAAACGTTTCGCGCTGTTACCTCAGCCTTCTTCAGTAATATATAAAAAATAAATTAAGAAATATTACGCATTGGAGTCTATTTTGTAATGAACCTTTGGTTTGATGAGTCATTAAATTTATATTGGGTGACGCTTATATCATTTATTAAAATAGATATTGTTTTTGATCGGCTAACCATTTTTAACTGAGATGGTAACTTTTGAATATGTCAAAAACATGCAAATGAGCTCACTGTTGTTATTAGATCAAGTTGACAGTCCATTCCACGTCATCAATCCTTTTGCACATTATTAGTTGAGAATATCATCAGAACTGCTTATATGAGAATTGAAACAATTAGATGTTATCCAGCATCAAAAAGTTAGTCCCCATCATCAAGCATATTTCCGAATAGGTTCATCATTGTAGTGTATTTCACCGTGTTTGTTTAAGTATATTTTTATTTTTTTGGTATATTAATTTATATTAATTAGTTATTTTTTTATGAAAGATCTTGATTATGATTAAAAGTGCTTACTTAAATTGATGAGTAGTCAAGATTCCGCCAAGTCAATGTGTTTATTATACAGTGTCACAATATGATATGTCGAATTCAAACCGTGACTCCTATTATTATTATTATTTATTTATACGACAATTCTTCTAGAATGTCAAAATATGACTCGTCAAGCATATCGGTATCTTTTTTAAGTTTAGACCGTTTTTTTGTTCCTTTATATGAATCATTTCAGAAACATTTCTCTTCTGAAATTAGATTCGGAATATAAAATTTTTATGTCTTCCCAATTAAATGAGTGTTGGTAATTAAGAATATGTTCCGAGATGACCGAGTGTCTTGACGAATCTAACTTTATATTATTTACATGTTCTTTACTCTCGTTTTAAGTTGTCTTTTGGTTATATATATATATATACATATATAATATTGAACAATATTATCATTTAATAATACCATATTATCTACTCCTTAGAGAGATATTCACACCACATTATCATCGTTAAATTAACACGATACAAACTGTTATTAACCTTTCACCATTAAAATTACACGATACGAATAGGGAAGTATACAAAATAACAAACTATATATAATTTTTTTTAAATAAATGTATATGTTATTTAAACAATATAAACACTAAAAGTTTGAATTTTTACATTGTTAAATGATTAAAATTAATTAATAAAATGTTTCAATTTTTCAAATTTTTTACGTGACGTAAAAACGGCCGATGATTAGTCGATTGAGTAATGACGTCAAATAATGTATGTCATCTTCAGTGCGCTATGAGAACACGTTAGTATAATAATCTATATTTAAGAAAATACGCTAATAATTGGTGTAAAAATGGTTGAACCAGGCTTTGTAAAAGCTGATTCAACCATCCCAGCAAACACAGATATGTAACCCATACAGCAAAATGTTAACAAAAAGAACTCTTAATGTTCTCTCATTCACGTTTTGGACATCCAAAAATTTCTTTAAAAAGATAACTTAATGATATCAGAAAGAGCTCTTATGCGCCACTTTGAGAGGGAAAACAGACTTCTTCCGATAGTTATCAAACAGATAACTTTTTTGAGATATCTTATATTAGATATCAAAAGATATCTTATATTAGATATTAAAAAGATATCTAAAATTAGATATTAAAAAGATATCTAAAATTAGATGTCAAAAAGATATCTAAAGTAGATGTCAAAAAGATATCTAAATTAGATATCTTTAAGAGTTCACGTTTATGATGTTAATAAGACATCTATTCGAAGATGTTCAAAACACTAAAAAATGCAAACTTTTTGGTGAGATATTTAGTGAGCTCCTCAAAGAGAGGTTTTGATAATGAAGGACAGAGATCCTTATATTCATATTGTCGTTCATATATCCTTCCCTTATTTGGAAAGCTTGCTAAATATCTCACCAGAAGCTTCTTTTGAATTGTCATCTGCTTACATAAAATTATATTATTAAATGGCTTTTAAAAGTGACACTGAAATTTGTTTAATAGCCATTAAATGCGATAACTCTATGCGCTAGAATTAAATTCAATCGATTTTTAGAGACTTTAGTATTTAAAACAAACCATTTTATATTAGAGATATATTAAACTAATTTCAGTATCATATTTTTCAATGATGGCTACTTTGAAATAATAAATAAATCATTGGATTATTTATTATATTATTATTTATATTATTTGATATTTTTTTAATATAAATAATATTAAAATATTAATTAACACTATATTATATAATGTTTATATAATAATAATTATTTTTAAAAAAACATTAATAATCATTTAAAGAAAAATAAATATTTTTTGTTTTCACATAACTGGAAATTTGTGTTTGAAGTGAAAATCACTAATAATAATTAACAATATATTATATAATGTTCATATAATAATAATTATTTAAAAACATTAGTAATTATTTAAAAAAATAAAATATTTTTGTTTTCACGTAACTAAAATGTGTTTGAAGTGAAAATTACTAATAGTAATCATTTAAAAAAACATTTTTGTTTTTACATATAATTATAAAATGTATGTAAAGTAAAATTAGATTTACGAAAAATTATTTTAAATTATATTTATTTTTTTTTTGTTCCTTCTTTAGGAAGACGATCGCCAGCATGTTGTAACCATGATTTAATAACGGCTTGTATTTTATCAATCGTAGAATCAGTTCGACAATTAATTATGGTTTCTGAAATAAGAAAATTAAATTATAAGTACAACACACATATATTTTAAT